GAGACCACCTTGAGCGGAAGTTGGGACAAATCCATCAGCTAGACCGGTCTTGGGCACATTAGATGGAGATCGACGAGGTGGTTCGCCGTCGCCAGATAATAACGAAGACCTTCTAGAAGACATAGAAGACTTAGAGCCTTGGGAACGCTTAGAATCTTCACGACGACGAGAGTGGCGTGAACCATTTGAACCCTCATTCTTAGAAGTCTTCCTAGGAGGTCGACTAGAATGACGAGAATTAGAGGAACCCTTGTCCCTAGAGGACTCAGAAGCTCTAGAACAGCGGGAACCATGTTGGCCAGATGCAACAGAGATGTGATCTTCTCTACTCCTAGGTGACCCATGGCCGGAGTCCCTAGAGTGGCAAAAATCACCAATTCTCCTGTCCCTAGAAGACTCACGAACGGAGCGACTAGAACAGCGAGAACCACGAGAAGCAATCTGACCGTTTTGATATCGGTCAAGGGATAGAGGACCTTGAGTAGATGGTTGTTGTAATTCGTGGCCAACGTCGGTAGTATTAGTACCAGTTACACCAATAGGCATAGAGGGTATCATAGATGAAGAACCAACAACCGAATAGGGGACTAGAGATAAGCCCCCATTAGGGCCAGGGATGTAGCCCCATTGGAAATTAGAGGCACCAACACTTGACTGCGCATTAGATGAAAAAGGGTTAACAGGAATAGGATAGAAACCCGTAGATCCATCGATAATAGGATTAGTAGGCTGGACGAATCCTTGATGCACAATAGGAGTAACCGGCATAGTAGTATTAACAGGGCCAGTAGAGTGCTTAGCAGTAGTGTTGGGATGTTGGCTAGAGATACCATTACCATTAAGAACATTAACAGCAGAGGGTACAGCCGTAGCAACAGTCTTCTTACTAGAATTAGCCAGATCATCTGATGATCATCATCATTACCCGATATATTAGAACTGTCACCATTACCCTCGAGGGGTGTAGTAGAGTCAGCCCCAATAGTCTTAAACCCACTAGACGACGAAGCAGAAGGTTGAGGAACCGGATCATCACCAGAGTTACCATTCTTGGGAGTAGATACAGACTTACCATTAGTAGCATCGGATACATCACCAAGACTAGACCGACGTTCCTTGTTAGATAAGGAACTTTCATTTTCAATAGAATCAGCGCAAGGCTTGGCAATTCTAGAGGAATGACGAGTAGCGCTAATAGCACGCTTCTTAGTAGAGGCTTTAAGGGTCGGCGTTCTTGTGACACCAGTCATGTAGACAGTACCCAGATTAATAGGTAAACCACGTAGACCGCGACCATCGGAGATAGAAACAGCACTAGTAGAAGAATCGTTGCCGAATGTCGGAGTGCAGTGCATCCGATCAGGGTAGGCGGAAGACGAATCTTCCTTACCGTTAAACAGAGCATTAGACTTACCAGTTACGATAGAACCGATAGAATGCTTGTCGTTACCGTTGTCGCCCAGACAACCAGAAATACCATTACTCATAGGTAGGACTAGAACATCGTTGTGCTCAACGTAGATCTCAGGACCAGCCTCAACAGTAGAGTGTTGAGGTACCATACCATCGTTAAAAGATGACGATAGATTCCCTAGAGGGTCGTCGTGGTCATAGACAGTAGACCGGCCTCGAACTTCTTGTGTTCTCGAGGGAAGAGAACGATGGCGGAGCATAGAACGCCTTCTGGAAGGAGATAAGCTTGCCGAGCTGGAGCTAGATCCAGCAGGTAGAAGCTGAGGCCTAGATGACGACATAGTGAACGCAGAGGTTCGGTAGGAAATCCCGGTAGAATGTGCGGACAATGGGCGTAAACAGATACCAGAAATTTCAGAATTTCTGGAGGGTGGTTCGATGTGCGAAGTAGATTGCACAGGTGTAAAGCGTTCACTAGAACTAAGCCCAGAATCCGACAGCTGCATAACACAATGCGGCGACTCACTAATAGAATGCATAGATAATACAGATCAGATACAGTTCTATATGTAGACGAGATAGAGATCACAATAGAGATCGATGATAGACCACCAGAGTAGACGGACGTGTAGATCACAAGGATCAAACGAACTTAAATCCAGTATTTTAGTCCAATAAAGCCTTTGATTGAAACGGTTAGATTCTAGGCGAGCGCCATATAATCCTGCGCTGCCTGAGGGTCAGCACAGAAAACAGTATGGGCGGGCGCGAGTGCCTCATTCGAAGCTTTTGTGTGCATGCGTTAATGTTCGATTGAATTCAGAGTCTTTCGAGGGATTCTTTCGAAAATTACTGTTGGCGCCTGCAGCTACGTATCACCTTACACCCGCATCTACCTTTGGAATCGTGTTGCCAGAGTCACTATCTGCTAGTGACTAGCATCGACTACCTGGAGTATCAAATTGATACTATCAATTGCGGTTTGGGTTTACTCAGTAAACTTTACTGCAACGCAACGCAATGCTTATTGCCGGGCTTTACGGGCTAGCAGCCGATCGCCCTCAAACGTACAATAGCCGGCTCAGAAGCACCCAAAGAGACAGTGAGGCTATAACCCCGTCGACATCAGAGATATGTGGCTGCTACTACTACTACAACGAGAGAGAAAGGTGGATAATGCAAAGAGCGGGGCCAAGTATAATACCTAAAATAGAAAAAGGGGCTTAAAATGATAGGGGGAGAAATACAACTACTATAAAGAGGACGATATAGACCCCAGGCAGCTCTAACATATGCACAGGTGATGACATCGCACGATATATGCTACGAGAAGCACAGGGAGGGTAATGAACCACCAGAACAGGGTTTACACAGCAGACAGAAGACAGCTGCGGTTGGGTAGGGGAAGTAAGTCAAGTCGACGACGGTACTATAGATGCTCCTCTTGCTCCTTCGGGACTCGGCAGAATACACCGGGGATCATAACATGAACACGGCGATGGTGAACATGGACAGTAAGATTGTCGAAAGCGATGCCTTCTCGCCGAGAAGGCATCGCGATGGTTACCAGTTCATACAGTAGACCATGCTCGCTGCAAAACCAACTGAGGCAGTATTCGAAAAGCATAATAGCCCACTGCCAGTGGTGCTGCACGTAGTGTTGACGTCTTGTCCACCAAACGATTTCAGACACGACGCCGAATTGATAGTACCTGGAACGACAAGGAAGAACGACTAACGCGGGACGAATGCGAATGCATTAAATGAGACACCTGAGCGAAAGAACACGGGAGCAACTATTGGGCAAAGACAGTGGCAAGTACGGCGTAACTCAGGGGAAAGAAAGGTCGAAGCCTGACAAAAGCCAGGGGAAAGGTGAAAGCAATCCTCGACAAGTAGACAGTGATGCACGAATATCATGAGACAAAATCGTGAGGGAGAACGGTGTGGCATGAGCTATAATGCAAGGGTAAGATAGAGCAGGTATACACATAGTAGCAGCCCGCCGAATGAAACGCTAGAGAATAGCTAAACAGGCATCGACGGAGAGAAACCCCACCATACTCCAAGGCACCCGCTGAGGGATGTACGAGTATAGGCAAAGGTGGTCAAGGCTTGGCACCGGCTATACCGAACCGGTCACCCCCACGCCACGTTGAGGCGCCAAGACCTGTGGGGGAACTTTACTGCACCAAGCCATCGAAAGGCCCCTCCATTGCAGGCAGTCTTTTTTTTCGGCAAACATGACATCGACCGCTCCGCTGGCACGCATAGGTCAAGCGCCCAACGATTGCACACGTGCCCCCGGTTGCGGGATCATTAAACAGATTATCGCTTTATGATGTTGATAGCAGCTCTATTATAGTGAGTGTCACTATCATTTCCTAAGGGTTAACTCCCTAGACAACGACAGTCCTGAGTTAGCACTGGGAAGACTCGACATTGAGCCAAGTGACACCGCACAATCGACGACCCTGTGCTGATCGCAGTTCCGCACGCCACTTGAATCCACAAGGGCGCACGCGGCTGTACGTGACCGGAGCACGTCACGTGACGTGACACATAGCACGGGAACGAGATCTTAAGGTTTCTTACGCTCTTTCTACCATCCTTAGTGGTCTATCTCGCTCTAACTCTGGCATAGCATTGGTCAATCGCGACAACCCGATCACGACTCCGAGTAGATCCGTCCACAGGAGTGCGTGCAGGTAAGCGTGACCGCGTGCAGGAAAGCGTGAGCGCGTGCAGATGCGTGCGGGCGCCACTAAAACATAGACGCTCCAGACAAACTCCGCAAGGTTGGATTAACGAGTGCTCCTGTGCTGAAAATAAGCATTTCCTGGCGAAGTCATCCGCAAAACTCATCCCCTCAGCTGAATCCTCTCAGGATTATTCTTCAGTAAGATGCGCAACGCCTTCGTCATCCTATGTACTATTATCTTCATCTTCCCAACCGATGCTAAACCAACCTCCCACGGGCTCCGTGAACTGAACTGGCAAACCTGTACGAACTATTGCAATAGGTTTTGTCCTGGCTGCGACTGCAGCGGAGATCCCCCCATGTGCGAATGCGGTTGTTAACCAGGATATGTACCATTTGATGCGGGTAGGCGGAGATTCTTTGGACTGATAGTCCGTTCGCAAGTTTGCGCTCGTGCTCCAGGTACCTATTTCGACGAGTAGTCATTCAGCTGTGTAAAGAGCAAGGCTAAAAGGGAGTTAAATCTGCCTAGGAGTAAGTTTTGTGGTTTGCAGAGATACAATCACCAACCTCTGTTTCGTACGAAACCACTCAACTCTGAGCTCGATGGCTGCTGTTGTTCAGCTCGCCCATCAATTGTCTACAGTTATTTCTCGATGAGATGGAGATTCTGTTCTTGATTAAAAAGCAATCATATCTTGAGTTGGAGTTTAGGTCCGGCATTTTAGCAGTGTAATGGAGTATAATGAGCGGAAGCAGAGATGTGTCCAGGGACCCATAGACTTATTTGTTCCCGCTGTAGACTATGTGGCCGATAACTTCACTATCAGAGTTTCACCACTCCTCCCTCCTCTTCCTATTCCGAGAGCATTCAACTTCTCTGACTCGCGTGATACCGACCACCTTTGAGATAAAGCATTGGCCGATTGGGGACGATCAAACGGCGAAGCCTTTGATTCCTATACATCTCCACTACTGCCCTAACCAAAGCCTACGGACAGCATCGACACACTCGTGTTCAACCAGCCCTTGTGACGCCGGTTGTGACACGTGCAGGACCAGCCCCGTTCATTGCAACCTATTTGAGACCCCATCTTCGTGGGGCGGAGAGAACGAGTTGCCATCAGTTATTCCGGGGTTTGAGTCAGCCGACGCTACACCCTAGATGATAAGAGCGGCAACAACAAAGGGTCGTTGAGAACTAAAGCCTTGCGCGTTCTTAAGCTTAGCAGGTTTGGTGGAGCACTGATTGCGCCAACTCAAATGTGACGCCTACTGGGACCTCGTACCAGACCGTTTCGACAACATTCGTGGACGCATTGTTCCGCCCGCAATGGTCTCTCTCATGCTGCAAAGTCTCTGTCTGATGGCTGTGGCCAGCGCTATGGCCAGTTCCGTAACCACACCACCATGTCCTACGACTACTAGAGCTCCTACCACACCACCATGTCCTACGACTCCTAGAGCCCCTACCACACCACCATGTCCTACGACTACTGGAGCCCATACCACACCACCATGTCCTACGACTACTAGAGCTCCTACCACACCACCATGTCCTACGACTCCTAGAGCCCCTACCACACCACCATGTCCTACGACTACTGGAGCCTCTACCACACCACCATGTCCTACAACTACTAGAGCTCCTACCCCACCACCATTTCCTACGAGTACTAGAGCTCCTACTACACCGCCATTCCCTCCAACTACGCATCAGCACTCAGACACCAGTCTCTACGGTGACTCCGACACCTGCCTTCAGTACGACTGCGAGACCTGCTCCTGCCACCACAACGCCCAGTAGTCATTCGCCTGTTGTCTACGGTTTCATAAATGCAATCATATTCGCTATCCTTTGCACCTTATCAGGGCTATAGATTGCCCTTATTCAATCATCGAGCTTCAAATTTATGAAGACGGTTCAGCTGAAACGAGTCAATACTTGTCCGGCCCTCAGCTTATCTTTGAGGTTTTTTTTGTGGGAGGTGAGTCCCAAAGGGTTAGGGGCTTACCAGGGGATATTTTCTACTCGTATTATCCAGTTTAGACTAAACTGTCTGGTCATATCAGACCTGTTGTTGTGTTGTGTTGCAGTCGTTTATTGGTTGCCATGGATTTATCTCCGGAAAATAATCTCACAAAAGCCGTGCTCTTCACCGCATCACACATATCCCTTATCTATTTTATACCTATATCTAGTATATACCATTATCTATTGATAGTAATTATATAAATGAAATGTCTAATCCAGAACTACGCTATTCACACGACTCCGATGAGAGAGACAGATTGTATGGAAGCTTCCCTCGCATCAGAGCAAAGATCCCTCACTACAAACAGAAAACTTTAAATCTCCAATTTTTACCCAAATCGCCTTCAAATTAGCAGTAGACTACTCGCAAGCCAAGAACAACCAATTTTAGGTTAACATTACGACGTCATTCACATGTTGTCATGGCACCATTCACACTTATTCAGTAGCACACAACAAGCACACCCCTCGGAGCTTCCAATGACTCGGATGCACATCAGTCTTCAGGTTCAAGCGGAATAGCAAATACCGATCATTGCGTTTAGGGTACTTGTATACCGCGCAGTCATATGGACCATATGGACCATACTCACCACCTCTTGCCTTCCTATCCTTCATAGTCACCGCTGTCACATAGATCGCTGGCATAGTCGTAAACAGCTTCTTGGGTTCGGACTCGTCCAATCGACCGTCTTGGCGATTCCACCGTGCACCTTCGATGAACAGTCCATAGATATTCTGACCTTCATCTGGGACATCCTTGACTCTCTCCAGGTCGTAGGAGAGCACCTCAGTATGGGTAACGACATCATCCAGGGCCCATTGGTCCTTCTTGTGCTGTCGGGTCACTTCCTGTCTCATACCAGTGAGGAACCCTTGGGCGTTCAGGAAGCCCGTGAGCCAATATCCCTTCATAGCACCTCTACCACTCTCGAGCCATGTGCCCAGCTGATTCACTCTATCTAATAAACCCGTGAACCATGCACCCAGGGTGGGCATGAGCCAGCTTATTTCCGCCCCTGATGGGTCATGGGTCCACCTCCTCGGCAAACGTGCGTCGAATATCATATTCAAGTCCTCGAGCAGATCCGGTGTCATCACGACAGTGCCCTCAATAGCCATGACCAATGACTGCAGATTATTTCGAACAATGCCTATCACTCTTTGGATCCTCTGGAGCTCCTGGAACAGGAAAATGTTCAACGGAGCTGCGAATCCCTTATCGGGAGTATTGGGTGGCCCCTTCAGTTTGGTTATCTGCGACCTGAAGATTTCCTCGACAAAATCAGGAGGAACCTTGGAGAGCACTTCGTTGGCCTTATCCTTCACGATTTCATCGCGACTCTTTCCAGAACCTCCACCACCCTCCTTCGGCAGAGTCTCCTGAATAGTAGTGAGCATCATCGAAGCCTCCAACTGTCTATAAGTCAGATCAGCATTGGTGTGCAGTCCGAAGATGAGCGGCGAGTCAACCGCTGGGACCTTGTCAATGTGCTCGCGGTACTGCTGAATTTCGAGACCTTCAGGAATAGTGTACTCGTGATCACTAGGGTAATTATTGAAGGAGAATGTTTTCTGGAAGACCTCATCACAGAACCACTTAGCTGCGTAGGTATTGAATAGCTCTCTATCGAGGTCATCAGTAATCCTACCACCATACTGTACCTCAGCGACCATATACTGGGTAGTTGTCCAACTCAAAGGCTGACCCACACTAACCGTGGTAGAGAGATGTTTCTCCAAGAACAGGAGACTGGCCTCTAAGTCCGAATTATTGAACTCGTATGGCACACACCACCCTATGGGGCCGAACTTTCTCCTCTCCTGAACTACAGAGTGCATAAAGGACATCACATAGACCAGGCAACGCCACTTCTCGTGATCAATCTTGTCTAGGAGCTCCTGTGAGACCATCGTCGTATAAGTACGAGACAGGCCAGCTTGCAGCCCCATTGGTGGCTCGAGCGTGACTTTGATCGCCATTTGCAGCAAACCAATAGGGAATAAGTTGGTGATCTCACATGTGATCCAGAGTCGGAAATCCTCAGCAATCTCCGGCGTGCGTGTGAGGATATCTTCCATCTGATTCATGAAGCCCAGACCCAAGTGACAGTTCTGTAAGATGACCCATGTCCCAGCTAGGAAGCCATTCTTCATCTTCTCCCAAGCGATAACCTCTTGTCCCTCACCCATGGACACCTTATCCGTCGGGAATTTCTTTTTCTTCTTTGCTATGTCGTCGATCATAGATGTGGGATCACTTCCAGCGCTCAACAAATACAACACGGGTTTACGGTTCTGGGACTCACAGTAGATCGAGTCGATACTATCTGTGACCGGTGCCGTGTACTTCGGATCGAGCTGTTTATTGATGAACTGCGCAGCAGCGATAGTCGTCCTGTCCTCTCTGATGCATCTCACAAGACACATTCGAAGGAAGAACCCAATGTTCCTATCCATATTCAGCCGCTCCTCGTAGTCCGGCACCGGGCATCTCTCGGGCTCGTTCTCGTCATACCACACTCTCCACGCGGCTTCATTTCGACTAATGAAATCAGGCAGCTCCCGGAAGAACAGCAGCTGCTCCTTGCCAAAGGAGTGCCGCGATAGCTGCAGGACGTTGAGCCAGACCTTATCCACCATCCATCGATTGGGGTTCGATCTCTCTGACTTCACGTCCAGGTCCGAGCCACCTTTCAAGAAGAGCCCAACATCGCCCTGAGTGAGCCTACCAGCGACAACCATTATCTTCATAGTCACCATCAACTTGAACATCATCTTATCCCTCTCAAAGAGGCCACGATTCATGTACCGGTAAATCTGGTAGGTAAGATAGTCAATAATCTTGTCAACGCGTTTCATGGTCGGCTGGCACTTCTCCGAATTCTTCACAGAGATGTCGAACTGCTCTAGGAACTGGATAAGGGAGCAGTTGTACATCCAGCCTGTAGGCTGCAAAGTAATGGGGTTCGACACCAACGTCATATCAGTGACACAGAAGTACATAACCGAGCCACGTGTCGCTACTGACCGGTACTGTTCTCGCTTTTGGTTGATCTCAATCTGAGACAGAATGCATCTTGCAGCAAGTCATTCGGTGCCAGCTACCCTACCTTCTTTTCCTCGGCATCCATAAGCTTCTGCTCAACCTCCTTGGCCTTGGCCTTCGTATTGGCAAGCACTTCGATGAGCTCAATATCGTCCAATAGATTGCCACTCGAGTTCGATAGACGCTCCAACAGTTGCTTGTCCAACAACTGTAACGACTTCGTATTATTTGTCACCTACAGACGCCGAATACATCATCATCACCAGCCCTACCATCGCAACCCCACTTCTTCCATAAGAGCCGCAAGACTATCTTCAAGGCTCTTCTGTTCCATGCCAAGTACTCTTCCAAGGAGCTGCTGTTCCAAGCCTTTCAGTGTGACCGTGAAGTCAATGACCGTACACTTGGCAGACAGCTCTGGCGAGAAGTGCGGGTTTGGTAGACGTGAAGTCATATAGAGGACAAAGGCTGGGTTGTAGTCCATGTTCTGGTCCGAGACGTTTATGTATCTGTTGCAGCAACCGAGTCAAGATCGATCACCATAGCTACTCCAAGGTTACAGATTCTTGCCCTTTTTCACGATAGCCTTCTCCAGGACAGGATCGAGAATGGGATCGATTTCCTCTTCAACATTCTCGAGGATCAGACACAGTCCTTCACCCATTGTGAACTCCAGTTGGTCCTTCAGTCTCGGATTCGACAGAGTCGATACACACTGTCCTGGTGCCTTGGCGACTCGATCACTTTCCCTACTCTTGATCCACCTGAAAGACATCAAATGTAGATCCTGTGACGGAAGCCAGAACATCCTCGTGAGCATCTCCATCTGACTACCTTAGGGCTTGTCCTTGTGGATCAACCATGAGAGGATATCGGCTAGATCGAGTGACCATGATGCC